TTCAATCACATATTCTTTTAGTAGTTTATCGTCTTATAATAAATTTAATTATAAAAACTGTGTGAAAGAACCATGACTAGTATTGTTATTTAATTATAAAAATCCTCCAGTAGTTATATAAATAACATAAATCCCTCCATCGTTAATTTTTTGTGTTGAAATAAATAATAGTAGGGCAATTACATATGGGTCCGTTTGGTTCTTTATTTTTTACCCTATTCCCAATCCTATTTTCAAAATAATTGTTTGTTTTACTATTTTGGAAATACTATTATTTTATTTAATTCTTTTAGTCCCCTTAAATTTATTAATTTAACTAAACACCCTCAGAAAAAAGTTTAAAAATTAACAAAAACAACCCCACTCACCCCATAGTTTCTAGATTCTGATAACCACCATCGGTGGTGGCCAGAATTTGTCACAACGGCTTAAAAACGATTGAAACTGGTCATTAATTCGTCGCTCTGGTCTTTCTAGCTAGGGCTGTGCAAAAAAAACCGATAACCGAACCGAACCGAATCTGAATTTTCGGGTACCCGAAAATTCGGGTCGGTTTCGGGTAATTTTTATAAGATGGCCGAATTTTTGGTTCAGATATCGGTTATTTAATTTAAGATAACCGGGTATCCCGTTTTATTAAAAAAAAAAAAAAAACAGTTTTTAAATTTTTTTTTTTTACTTTCAATTTTCAAAGGGCTAAAGCCCCAAATAGGCAAATACATTGCCCTAAAATTTCAGCCCATCAGCGTCACTGCGTCAGCCGTCAGGTCCCGCACTTTGCTCTCATCTCTCTCAAATTCTCTAGTCTCCACTCTCCAGTACGTTTGTGGACTGATGTTGAAGATCATATTTTCTTTACAGTTAATAAGTATCATGAAATTCTTTTTATCAATAATTCTGCTTTAGTTTGTCTTCGGATAACCCTTCATCCTTCTGTTTTAACTCTGATTTTTGCTTCTTGTGTCTGGAAATGCTGCCCTCTGTGTGTCGTTCCTAACTTTTTCCAATTTTTTATTTGTTTTCAATATATTTTGTTTTTATTTATGGAGCTTTAACTAATTTATGGGAAAATTAAAGGCGATATGCTATATCCAACCCTCTCTTTTGCTTAACTTTCTTTTAGTTAATTTATTTTAATTATTTTGTGCCAAAAGTAAAGATCATGAAACCCTCATGATCATTATTATTAGGGAAAAAAATTTCTAAATAAAAAGGAAACTTATCCTGGACCTTTAAGAGATTCTTAAAGGATGGAAATAAAAAAGAAACATCAGCGTGTTGTGCCCATATGTTAGCTTGTTGGTGAAGTGCATAGAATTGTTTTATGTGTTGGTGCTTAATTAATTAATTAATTCTCCACTGAAATTTTCTTCTTAAGACTTCAAGGTACTGCAAAAATTCTCCACATTCGGCTTCAGTCTACTTCCTTTCACATACTTCTTTGCTGCTGCTTCTTCAATTGTAAAATTATTGAATGAAATACCCCAATGGAATTGTATCTTGTAAAAAATTAAAATTCATGATGAATTTTAATCAAATTCGGGTCATAAAACCGGGTATCCGGTTTTTGACCCGAATATTCGGGTACCCGCAAACCAGGCATTCTAAAAACCGGTTCGGTTTGCGGGTACCTTTTTAAGGGTACCCGAATATTCGGGTACCCAATTTGTTGTCTAAACCGGTTCGGGTACTCGGTTTTGCACAGCCCTATTTCTAGCAGCGACAACCAAAGAAATGACCGTCGTTGACTATCAACGATGGCCATATCTTTGGCCATCTTTGGCGACCAGATCTGACCTTTTTCGATCGTCGACGGCTAGATCTGGTCGTATATCTTGCCTTTTTTGACTAAATCCGTGGTGGATCTAGCTGGAAAATGCCAGATCGATGCACGACCGGCCAGATCCGACTGGTCTGCGCTGTAACGCCAGATTCCGATGGTGGTGGCCGGAATCTGGCACTGTAGGTGGGTGGGGGTGTTTTTGTTATTTTACAAAAATTTTATATATTGGTGTGTTTAGTTAAATTAGCAAACCTATGAGGTTTTTTTTGTTAATTTTTAAATTTTACGTCCTAATAATCACCCTACTCAACTATCTAATACTATTTCTAAAATCCTATCCAAAATAACAAACCAAACGGGCCCTCTTCATTAATTCATTCAATTATAAAATCTAATGGTGTACTAACTACTCATGAACTATATTAATATTTTGTTATTTTTAAAATTTAAGGGGGATTTTGTTATTTAATTAAACCTCAGGAGTTGGGAAAACTCTTTAGTTTTAATGAAAACTAATGTATATTTATATTAAAAAAAAAAATTACATATGTTCTTAAAGTATTCTAATTTTTATATGTTATTATTAACTAAATCTCACTTTTAATTTATTTTATAACATTTTTTTCTTGAGAAAAAAGTGTCTTTTATTAATAGAAATTATTAAAAAAAAAAAAAGGTATATTTATTGACTAAACGAATGTATGTTAAATAATCGAAATATCAATTTATTGATATGAATAAATTACTTTTTTTTCGAATTTCAAATAAAAGTGGCATATGAACGATAATAGTCTCACTTTTAATAATCAAATTTCGTACTATTTATATTTCTTAATAAGTCATAGATGCAGAATTTTAGCTTGGTTGATGTGAATTTGTATAATTAATTTTTTCAAATTTTTATGCATATCAGCATAGTACTATATATTATTAATATTTCATCTTCACCTTGGAGTTCGTAATATTGGTGATCTTCATCTGATCAACAGGTGGATTATCCTTAATTAGTATTCAATTTGTTAATTAATTCAATATTTAAACAAGATAACACTATAATTCTTATTTTTTATTATTAAATATTACATATACAAAATCATAAAATGCATCATTATATTATTAATTATTTGTTAACATATCACACAATTTATTATATATACTCACACACATACAAATTGATTATTATTGATAACTTTTAGATAATAAAATTTAATTATTGATAATTAATTATAAATAAAAATGTGACATCTAATTATATAACAATACGAATCAACTTGTATAATTAATTTATGTATTATTGGAACAAACTATATCATGTATTTCTACTGTACAATAAATTATTTTGACAAAAGACGTCTTTGATAGACTCATTGATGAATTTATATGTTAAACCATAAGTTATACAATTGATTTAGATATATTATCAGATCAAATAATATTTAATTTGTAATTTTTACTATGATGCCCTTTTTTATAAGTCTATATATCATTTGATATTATATATTAAGGTATACATTTTTTTGACTTTTGCAATGAGAGAATAGAAGTTACAAATTATTAGGGGTGGGCAGAATTTTAGGGTAGAACTGGAATCGACAGGTACTTGGTGTTGGTTCCGGTTCATACCTGAAATCGGTTATAACATGGTATGTTCTGGTTCAAAAAAATTAGAATTTATAATGTGCATTCTAGTTTCGGTTCCAAAACAAAGGAACCAGGAACTGAGATTAAATTGATATAATATTAAAGAATGGGGGTTTTTATATATTTTGCATATGGAGGGGTTTTTTTTAACATTTTACATATCATATAAATATATAAGAAAAATTTGGTTTTTTTATCTTACTATCAAAAATCTTATTAATTTTCATTAAAAGATCAGTTTTTAAAAATATTCTAATTAATATTTAAGTTTCACTTATTACTTGATTAAGAATTAATACACATTAATACATTTATGTTAAATAATAGCGTTTAAATGTTTATTATCGGTGAAAACAAACAAACAAATACTTTTAATCAAGCATCAAACATCAAGTAAATATAAACAAATATATTATTTAATGTTTTGCACTTAATTGTTAGGGGTGTAATTGTAATTTTATAAGGGTTTATTTGTCTTTTTTAAAAAAAAAAATAGGGGGTCATTGATACTTTCTAGGGTACCTAGAGCCAGAATCGACGGTTCCGGTTCCAATTCCAAATCAAAGGAACCAGCCGGTTCTGGTTCCGGTTCCTTTGATTTTGGATGGGTACCCGGACCCGCTCACCCCTACAAATTGTTTAAACCAACCATGATTTGTTGTTAACTTTAACGGAAAATGATAAGAAGACTTAGACTTCCTTGATTTTTTTTTTTTTTTTATATTTTTTACCCTCAGTTCTTAAATTTAAAAAAAAAAAAAAAAGAACTATACCAATTTTTTTAAGAAAATTGAAAAAAAATTAAAAATTTTAATTGAAATGAAAAAATAAATTTTTAGAAAGCTCTTTTTATTTATTTATTTTTTTTCCATTTTTAGTAATTTCAATTTATTTTTCTAAGAAATAATTTAAATTTATACAATTATTGGTTTTGCTCTTGTATTAAGTTAAATCTAGCTCTGATAATCTATTCTCCCATTGAAATTTTGTGACCAGCTTGTACCCAAACTAAATTGTTCCCATCGATGAATATATATTAAGAACTAACAATTATATCTAATCACCAATAACCTTTGGATCATGACAGATGATTATAATCAGTTGAGATTGTAATCCTTCCCATGTAGATAATAATGTCACTAAGGATGCTAATAAAGGATATGACCCATTGACTAAAGTGTGATCATATGTTAATCTCTTTAGCAAAAAAAAAGTATTCTCATAATGTGATACCCAATTCGAGTAATGTGGTCCACACGAAATTAATTTACACAAAGGAGGGAGAAGGATGATTTGATTTCAAAATCAGACTACTTTATTTGAATAATGGCGGCCTCTTTGATTCAAATCTTGAGGTAAAAGCTACAAAAGAGATAAAGAAAACGGACCCACAAAAAGAAAAGAAATATAGATCTATCATCAAGATTCAAAATATAATAAATCAAATAACCCAATTCAAAATTATGTTTCAAACTAAATTATTATTTTTTTTTTTTTCCATTTTCCAATATTTAACTGAGTCATTAATTCTTTATATAAGGTGACCAAACTCTCTCCATCTCACACTCTAAAGTCTAAACCCATATAACCATGATGAACACCATCTCCGGGAATTCAATATGGCAGGCGCCAGATTTAGCCACCATGGACGAGCACCAAATGTGGAGGAATGCTGCGGGAAGGCTTTCGTCTGACATCAACCAAGTAAGAGTTTCTGAGAGAAACAATTATGAGTATATCGGAAACGACTATGATCATCATCAATTTCGTTACAAAAAACTTTGTTTCAATGAAGTTCCATTGAGGAATTTATCAATGAAGCTGCAACACCAGAGTGCTGATCATAAATGGTACAAGACTCTTCCTCCGGGAGAAATGTTGCCAAGGAATGAGGCTCTTGGAGGCTACATTTTTGTTTGCAACAACGAAACAATGCAAGAAGATCTTCGCCGCCAACTCTTTGGTAAAATTGATCACCTTTCTCTAAGATTTTTGGTCAAGTAAACCACTTAAAATTATTTGTTTTTGAATTATGTTTGTAGGGCTTCCACAAAAATATAAGGATTCTGTAAGGGCAATAACTCCTGGATTGCCTCTTTTTCTTTATAACTATACTGCCCACCAGCTTTATGGAGTTTTTCAGGTTTGTTTGGTAATGTGTAATTAGATTTTAATAACGATTAATATATAGAAAAAAAATTAAAAATAATTTTGTTTTGGAATTTTTGAACATGTTTTATAGCTGGGGATAATTATTTTTCTACAATATTAACAATTAATTTTAATTTTCTATCTTTTTTTATTTATAAATTTAAGGCTGTAAGTTTTGGAGGGTCAAACATTGACCCAACCGCATGGGAAGATAAGAAGTGCAGAGGAGAATCAAGATTTCCAGCCCAGGTAATTTTAATTCTTAATTAAATTTTAATTATTATTACTCTAAGTTAGAACTTGAAATTCAAGGAGATTAATTTAAAAATAATTAATGTATAAAACTTGATCAATTGATTTCAGGTTAGAATTAGAATGAAGAAGAAATGCAAGCCACTGGAAGAAGATGCTTTTAGGCCCATTTTATATCACTATGACGGCCTAAAATTTCGCTTGCAGCTTTCTGTTCCAGAGGTACACTTTGCTTTTGTTTTTTGTTTTTATTTGTATTTTTGTTTTCGTTTTTGTTTTTATTAATGTAAACTTTCCGGTATTTTAAGAGAAATGTGAAAAATACTTTTCTCCTTGATCTATTCTCTTTTTGTATATGTTTTAAAAGGAGATTGAGAAAGTAAAAAAGAGATGATACTTAGCATTTCACATATTTTGAATGTCAATCGAATAATTGTTATTCGTCGGGTGGAGTCAAACTTTAGGATTTGGTTGTGAATAAAAATATTTTGGTCTTATAATATTATTGATTAATGTTTCAATTGGATATATTGCAGGCACTTGCACTGTTGGACTTGTTCAAAGAGGAGGAAATGTAAAGGGTGAAAAGACGACTATATCCTTGACTTAACATTAGTTTTAAAATAAAAATTCATGTAGAAAACCTCTATAAAATATTATTGTTTGGAAATTGTAATACACAAGTTAGAAGTTTATGCCAAAAAAAAAAAAAAAAAAAAAAAAAGGAACAGCACCAGTTAAATTTTTTTTTATTGTTATTTATTTAAAATTTCTTAAGTATATAAAAATTAATATTCATTTTTCTTTTAAGGTTAAAAAATTGGCCAATTTAATTAATATCCCATTTTAAATGTATGTTTATAAAAACTAATTCACAAATAAGGGGGTGTATTTGATGTTATGATAAAAAGAAGTAGCCCCACAATTTGGTTCGTTTAGAGCTTTATTTTGTTGTGTAACTCCACCGTCCGACCTCCGTTTCAAATCATAAGAAGATTATGGAATATCTGGGATAATAACAAATTCATCCCTTAGGTTTGGGAAAAAATGTTGGCTCCAACGAAATTGAAAAAGTGACATTTCAATCCCTGTCAATCTTTGTTGGTTAAATATGATGATTAATGTTGTGAACAAAACAGAGAATTACTGACCTGTTATAACTTGTAACCCATGTGCAATAATTTTGCTAAACCTTACATGAAGGCATACTTTGTTTAGAAACTAGAACCCTGATAGGGTCGATAAGATATGAAAAAAAAAAAAAAAAAAGAAGGCATAAAGAAAGTCACACAACACCAAATTTATGTGGTTCGGCAAAACTTTGCCTACATCCACGGATGTGAGTCAAATGACTAAAATAAAGAATGATAGTAGAAATCTAAAACACTCCCGTTATACCCAAACCCAAATCCAAACCCAAACCCCAAACCCCGTGTACACCTTTCTCTTACATCTTTTTCAACACTGCACTTTATGCACACAAATCCCAAAAGCTGAGATTTTCTTCTTTATTCAATTGCTGTTATTAGTTAACAAGACCTCACAAGTCACGACACTCTCCACCCACAAGCCTGTATATAATCAAAGAAGAAGAGGAGATGAACATATTAATTTTCTTTGGACGAAGAAACTGTCTCAAATCCGGTGCTTACATTGCTGTCAAGCCATTGCAGATTTTCAGGCTTCTTATTCCTCTTATCCACCACAATAAGTTCATGGTGCCATGGCGAATGAATATATTTTGTATCATATAAAGGGACAATACGCTTCCCTTGTCTTTCTTGCACCAAACTGTGAATTCTCAAGGGACAATCATCCATATTCGGGTTGCAATTAGGCAAAGCAAAAACAAAAAATCCAACTTTGAGAAGATTTTTAATAAAAAGTTCATTTGGTAAGTACTTGAGATTATCTTATCCAGAAAGCTTTCTCTGGAAAAGATTCAAGAAGAGAACTTCTCTTGATGACCTCTAGAAGTTCAAGAGATGCAATATTGTAGATTTTTGCACTCTTTGAGCCTGAGAAATGCAATGAGCTTTTCATAGTTACAAAGATCTCAAAATGTACAGAGATTTCTTATATAAGTTGGAAAGGTCATACCAGCGTTGGAACTGAATCTCAAGAGTACCACGAAACATTTTCTGACCAACACTGCTTCAGTCACTCCATTCATAGGATACACCTTGAACATTAATAAATACAGATTATGTAAAAATGCTCTCCAATAAAAAAAGGCACTGATTTTGGGAAAATCTAAGAATAAGTTTATGTAAGTGGAGAAATAATATCTCAAGTGCTTGCAATAAATAGAGTTCCATACTTCCATCAACTTGGGTTTGCTCTCATTCCTTTATTAAATTGAAAAAACAAATAAATAATGAAGAAGAAGAAGAAGATTATTATTAACCTTTTTACATGGATACTGGCCTCTATTTGGAAAACATTAGTTTTACTGGCTGCCAACCTTCAATCCGTTCCAGAGAGTTACTTTCAGTATAGAGCAGTCACCAAAAAAGCTATGATACAACGTTAAACTATTAAGAAAAGCTGTTAGATTAAAATTGTAAATCATAATGGGTTCATACATTACACATATGTAGATGAAAAATCACTATTATCCTCCTCTTCACTAAAAGACGATCCGTGAATCAAAGACAAGATGATCTGACATTCACTTAGTAAAAGTTTTGATATAAAATGATGTCAAATATGATTACATGACTGGATACAAAAAATATATGGCATGCAATCACAGTCTGATGTCATTCCACTCAGGAACAGAATTGCAATTATTGATCATTTGAAAAGAAACTCAAATTTGGCACAATATATGGTGAAGGAGTCGAAATATGTATATATATTTCAGTAATTGCAAATATTGAATTTTGTTGGAGACTCTCTTTCAGTTACCTTTCGACCTCGAAAATCGAGAACTAATAAGGTCAAAAAACAGTGCATGAAAACTTCAAATTTCAAGTATTCTTGTTTCAAAATGCCCTCTCCACTCCTAGGTTCAAAATTTAGAACAAAGAAATGGAATATATCTATGTTTTGGTAAAAACATGGAAATCTTTGACATGCTCGAAATTGGCAAACCCAAAATCGAATGAGATGATTTTCTCATTGGTTCTTCATTTTGAGATCTAAAATAACTCACTTTTGCCTCTAAAGTACTCATCTGAATCACAGAAAAATGTTTCCCGAAACCCTTACACACCCTTCTCTCATATTTCTATTACCACTCCCAATTTATGCCACAAAATCCCAAAATGTGAATTTTCTATCTGTATCTGTGCTCATATAGGACTCCAAACACTTGCTCTTCACCAATACATTTTCTCATGCAACACCACGATTTACAACCTATATATGATCGAAGGATGAACATATTATAACTTTCTTTGGACAAGAAATTGTCTCAAGGTGCCTACATTGCTGCCTTGCTACTGCAGTTTTTCAGGCTTCACATTCCTCTATATCATCAAAATAAGTTCACGGTGCATGGCAACTGAATGGAGCCCCAGTTTCTGAAGCAATGATCTAGTTTGTTGTGGCCTTTAACCCTCTTCAGATTTTCTTCTAATCACACCATGATGTTGTTGTTGGCTAACTCACTAAACAAAGAAAATAAATATGAAAATGACGCAGTTGAAAAAAATTATGTAAAACTGTGATACAGTGTTACAATTCCAATGCAAGTATCTCTCTCAATACTGCAACTTACAAGCAACAATTTGGACCTGTTTCTTCAGGAGAATTCTTGCCATCTATGTCGTTAAGGGAACATGGGCTATTTTGTACTAATCTTCCCTTTTCTTTCTTGCATCAAGCTGTTAGTCATCAAGGGACAGACATCAATATTTCGGTTGCAACTAGGTGAGAACCAACAGAAACCGCAACTTTGAGACATTTTAAGTAAGAAATTACCGAAGTGATGTGAAATTGTGCAGTTCATTTGGTTAGGACCTGAGATTATCATATCCCACAAGCCTTCTTTGGCAAAATATTCAACAGCGAACACTCCCTGATGATCCCCCAGAAGTTCAAGATATGAGATTTTGGAGATTTTTGCACTCTCTTTCCTGCAGAAATGGACTTGAACATGTCATCGTTACAAAGATATCAAAATGTACAGGACTTTCTTATCCAATTGGAAATCTCATTCCACACCATCTATGGGAACTGATCATAGGTGTACTACAAAACGTTTTCCGATCAACACTGCTTCAATCTTCCATTCAAATGATTCACCTTCAACATAAGTAAACATAGATTATGTAGAAATGCTTTCCAAAAAACAGACAATGGTATTTTTGGGAAACGTAAGAATAAGTCTATATATTAAGTAGAGAAAAAATCTTACGCGCTTGCGTTAGCGAAGTTGTTCTGCCATAGCAAGGATATAAAGAAGTCAATCAGTTGGTTTTGCTCTCATCATTTCTTCCTTTAAGAATAAGAATAAGACAAAGACTAACTGACATAACCCATGAAAAGAGATAATAGCATGCAATGGTGGAATATAAAAATATAAGGCAATCTCTTTTTGTATACTGAAAAAATAGATAAATACTGAAGAAGAAGAAATTATTAACCTTTTTACATGGATACGCAGGTCCTTTTCAAAAACAGTAATTACTGGCGTTTAGCCTTCCAATCGTAGCAAAGAGTTTACTTTCAAAACAGAGCCCACTACAAAGTTATGATACAATATTAAACTAATGAAATTGTAAAATCATAGCGGAAAGAAGTTTTCATACATTGCACATATGTAGACAGAAGAATCCACTATTATCATCCTCTTCACTAAAATGATCCTGTTGATCAAGATTTCTGGGATTACCATTTGCTAAAGGTTTATACATAAAAATGATTTCAAATATGATTACACGAAGCTGGATAGGAAAAATTTATGGCTTTGCCATCACAGTCTGATGTCAAAGTTTAGAATAAATATGTTGATCATAATTGAACAAAATTGCAAGTATTAATCATCAAGAAAAGAAACAGAAATCTAATAATTGTTGAATACTTTCTTTCGGTTACCTTTTGACCCACAAGAGTAGAAAAAACTAATGGTCCAGCAGTGAATGAAATTTCAATTTAAAGATTCTTGTATCGCAATGCCATACTCCACTACTCCTGGATTGAAAACTGTAGAACAAAGAAATGGAATATCTTCAGCACTACGGTATATGATAAATTGGGAAACAGTTCATGTGTTAGAAATTGCCAAACCCAAAGTATGAGATGATTCTCTAATTGTTCTTCATTTTATAATAAAAAATAGCTAAAATTCTGCCTCTAAATGTTACTCCTCAGAGTAAAAAACGCATATACTCATCTGAATCAAAACTGATACCAATCTAAATCAGTTACCTTTCACGGCGCGAGTGTCAAATTGAAGAATGTACTCCAGATCTGGGATTTCAGCCATCCACTTGCTCCCCACTGAAATCAAGTCAATTAAAGTTAAACCAATCAACGCAAAACGTCAAAGTGAAAATAATTAATAAAACTTTGAAATTAAGTTAGAGGATAAAAAAGTACGGTTAAAGTGTAAGAAAATGACAAACCTGGCTTAAAGTGAATTGATTATATGATTGCTGCTGCAAAATCAAATAACTAGGCTCATTCTTCGTACTCTTCCTCCTTTAAATTGTAGATGAATATTCTATCTATATAAACTTTAGGATGTGAGCAATCTTTGACAATATTTTGCTTTACGCCTTTTCCAATGTCTTTTCAGTAATGACAATGTAAATACTTAAATCCATAAGTAGGATGGTAGACTTTGCAAGGATTTGAGCTTTGGGCATTCAGGAATGGACAAATATTCAAGAGAGGTAAGGCTTTCCAGATCTAGATGGATTTGAGCTTTGAGCATCTATAAATGGACAAGATTTAAGGAGGTGAGGTTTCCCAGATCTGGAATGGATTTGAGCTTTGGCATCCATAAATGGACAAAGATTCAAGAGAGGTGAGGCTTCCCAACTCTGGAATGGATTCGAGGTTTGGGCATATCTGAATACGCAAATTTTGAAGAGAGGTGAGGCTTCCCAAGTCTGGACTGGATTCAAGGTTTGGGCAATTCTGGATCGTCAAACTATCAAGAGAGATGAGGCTCAAGTCTGAAGGTTTTTAGCTCTCGAAAACTGTTAATTTCCAGCAATTTAAGAGAGTCGGCTTGAAGACCCAATGTAGATAGAGAAGTTAGAGAGGAAGGTTCTGAATCTTCACATCTAGTAATACGGAGTTCTCTAAGAGAGCGAGGTTGTCAACCCCCTTTCTACTAGTGGCCAATAGGTTTTGGCACCTACCCAACATTGAGTTCTGTTAGGTTTGGTGGGTACACCCTCTTCTGCTAACAATATTGGGCAATTCCGTATCTCTAATTCTTTAAGAGAGATCGGAAATTTGAAGGATATTTCCATACTTGACAATCCCGTAAGACAATACTCTGAAGACATGTAAGTTTTTGTAGGTCTGAAGGTATGGATTGAAGGATTTCACTCTTCAAAAACTCAAATCTGTTCAAGACGCGTGCTATATTCAAATGTCTCCATTATTGACTCTAGCTTTGAACAAGAGCTAATAGAGAGATGTTTGAGTGTGCCAGGCAACCAACCATTTGATGATATAAACGTGAGAGATGGACAATCATCAATGTCCAAGTACTCCAAATGAGTAATGCTTAAATCCTCCAAATATTCCAATTCTCAAACTTCTTATCTCAAGCCTTCTCAGAGATAAAGTTATCATCTTCCTTCAAAGAAAGTCAGAGAATCACAATCTTCAATTACTAAGCTTTCTATATTTGTCTGCTTCAATGCTTCTTGTAAAGATTTTAGAGCCTCCGTTACAATTTACAATCTTCAAAGAACTGAGATTGGGGAGCAAATTAGTCTCTGGAAACAAACAAGACTTTTACAATTTACAATTGACAAGTCTTTAAGGGATTGAGACCATGAATACCATCTAGTGGCTTCCCAACATAAGTGGATTCTCGCCAAGAACTGATAATCTTTAAAAAAGATTGAAATCCTTGATTTATCCAATTTCCAGGCTTTGGAGTATTTGAAAGAGCCATAGAGAAATGACTGGAAGTTAGTGGAAGTGCTATTTACTACACACCACTTCCTTGCAGTCATCAATTTCTAATTTACATAGCACTGGAAAACTTGAGCAGGAAACCGCCAACCCTACGCACTTCTTAATAAAAGTATTTCTAAAGAGGAGACGACAAGGTAATTCTCCAGTAGACTGGGACATTCGTCGATAAAAAGCTCACGAAGGAGAGGAGTTTTTCAGCATCATCATTTTGTCTCTTAGTGTTCCCACCCTTCCATTTTTGCAAGTTCTGAAAACTAAGAACCTCCAATGACTTGAAAGGCATATAACATTTACTATTTCTAGACTTGGCATCCCTTCAATGGTACGTCTTTAAGTGAGTTCAACACCTCAAGTGAAGGCAAACTTCTCCGGTTGTTACAATTTTCTAATTTGAGGACTCTCAATTGGAGAGTGACGACACATCTTCTAATCAACATGGAAAACACGCACCTCC